GGGATCCTTCTAATGAAGAAAATGATTGTAGTTCAGTCATTTCAAAGGCAGTTTTAGCAAATATTAGATGTTTTCCATTGTTTGTCATATTATATCTAAATTTCCATGGTTTGATGACTGTTAAGTACAATTTAACCAACTTTGTTTCTTTAAAGTAAGACAGGTTTTACAGGTTTAATATGTGACCTAGTATTTTATCAGGCTGCATTTCTTTGACCTGTAATGTTTTGGGGTTTTTGGTTGGATGAAGATAGTTTTATGTCAAGGATCTTAATTTAAATAGCTTATTCCCTCAATTAAAGCCAGCATTGTGTTCTGATGAAATACGATGCATAGAAACTTGATGTCCAAATATATTCCAATAAATATATCAAAATTGCCACTCTCGTTTTCCAGGATCTGATGGTAGTGGAGCTTTAGACCTCCCTGTGAGGTGTAGTGTAAATTGAGCCTGTTTGTCAATCAGCAGTTCATGCCTGTTTTCCTACCAGCTCTCTCCTGGGAGGGCTGTCGCTTTACAAATTGAAGGGGGTCATTCAGACTATGTCCAATTTTTGCCAGCTGGACTGGAAGAGTCCCTCTCTTAGATCGTTTTTTGTGTTTTTTTATGTCTGAATAATAGCATGAGAAAATTGCTTTTATCAGCAAATTAAATTCAACTTAGAACTGCTACTTTTAAGAAGTGTTGTCACCACTTTCCATTCTGAGAAATTTTTAGTCTAGTAGGCTGGAGAGAATCTGTGACCAAAATACCACAATAACCAAATTCTTTATCCTGGTGTCCTTACGCCACAGTGAAAGTAGATTGTATCTTCACACCTGGAGGTTCATTGATGTTGTGCTTAGATTGTTAATGGATATTTTCCTTGAGTAGGTATGAACAGCATCCTCTTTTTTATACCACAATATTATGCTGAGCTTTGCATTCTTCATTTGGTGTTTTTTCAAGCACTCTTCCAGATTCTAGACAAATGTCCAAAACACACGATGGTAAGTTTTTTAATGAAGGAGATAAAATGACCAATTATTTTGTCATGTTTCATTAAGATTAAAGGTGCTGAACATATAAAGATGGTAATGTATTAATACACAGTCCATATCTATAGTTCTGAAGAAATGACTCCTGTACAGTATCTAAGACTAAAAAGCAAAAGCAACAAAATTGGATAATCTAATATCTGTCCATTTTGAAATAATTAAATGTATCACTGGAATCAGATTAACTTCTGATTAATCAAATTAACTTGGCATTAGCTAAAGTAGCTTTAAAATGGAAAAAATGTACTTCAATGCATTTCCTTTCCTTTAATTGCAGAGGTCTTCAGATGGTTAACAGGGCAATTCTACCTATGAAAGCAAATCCTGTTAAATATTTTACAGTATATGGCTTATCCCCCTTTCCTCCCTCTCCTTCACACCACATATCTTTCTTTACGAGACATAGGATGAGTGCTGACTGCCAAAACTTTGCACATTATTCTCAGGGGTGCAGTATTATTTCAGCTCAGAGACATGGGTCATTTGCAAGAAGGGGTGGACACAGTTGTGTTTCTTTTTTTCCCCTCTATAATGTGTTTCAGATGCGTCCCAACCATTGGCAGTAAATAGCCAGCAATAACAACACATATCTCACTTGTTGCTCTCAGGTTTAATTTGTTAAAGATGAGTTAGGCTGAAGTTAATCTAGTTTAAATTAATGTACATATTCTGCTCAATATTCACTTTCCCCCCATACAAAGTGTTTTTCTCTCAATAAAGGATTAATCCCACAGTAATTTTTCTGACTTCATTCTTTTTTCTACATATTCTAAAAGAAATACTTATGATTAAAATATTCCCATTTCTTTATTTGCTTTTCATCCTGACTTTTAATGGTGATGCCCAACGAGAGGTTTTTATTTTCTGCTCAGCTGGAGTCATCTGGCGTTATGGCATAGCAAAGTAACCGGTTACAATTTATTGTAATTTCTTTTGATTTCAGCAGTATTAGAGAATGCACACATCCACACATTCAAAGCTCCACCAGCACAGTAAAAATATGGAAACAATACTAAGCTTTGTTTGCAAAATAACGAGTTAACATTGCAAAGTGGGAAATGACCTTTCATAGTTTGCCTGGTTTTGTTTGTGCTGCATATAAGCCAGATTCCATGCTAAAATGTCATTTTATTTTTGTTACCATATACAGTAAATAGCTTCTGCTTTTCCCTTTAGCTATAACAAAACCACGAGAAGTTGAAGACATGGGAGAAAATGTAAATGTCTTTTGGGGGAGTTCATAAAAATGAGCTTTCTTTATGTTGTTTTCTTAAATATATTCTACAATGGGTTTCAAAATAGCCAAAGATGGAGGATTATAGTTCACTTCAACACTAAAGAGGCCTAAGGAGATCATAACTGCTCTATTTATATCTTGTGGCATATTGTGCAGTGTATTTAGCATTCTTTACTGCAGTGTTTACTTGTTTATTCCTGTGCTGCAGGATTTGGTTCAGCTGGGAGATGTTTTGTTTTCTGACCTCAAAAACAATGAAAGTGCAGTGGGTAACCTCTCAGAGACTTTTTTCATCAGAGTGTCTCTAGATTCTGCAATGTAGATAGATATACCAGCCTTTTGCCACTCAGTATAAATCAAGGAGTGATTCATTTTTCTTTTGATGAAATGTTTTAATGTTTTATTTGGAGTTTTCTCAAAAAAGAAGCCTTATTTCATTGTTTCCATTTCTATTATTGATAGTGTGTTTCAAAGAAGGGCATTTTGAAACTAAAATGCTTGACAATGTTTGTAATATCTTAGTTCATTTAGGGTAAGTGTGATAGAAGCTAAAAAAAACGTGAGTTTTTTTAGATCATTTTTATGATCTAAAAATGAGATTATTATTTTTAAAAACTCTCTAGTCGTAAGACTGTCTCAAAGCATTCAGATAAATAAAGAACCAATTGATAAAGAAAAGCAGTAGCATTAAAATTCAAAATCCGGGCTAAAGACTGATCTTTCTGAGAAGTAGTTTTGTGCGGCAGTCTTGACAATGTCTGGAGAAGAGTGTGAGTGCAAAGTACTTTATTTTACCCTAATAGTATGTGTGATGTATCTCACAAAAAAGCCCCCTGTTTCAGCACTAGCTGGTGTTCCCTCACTAGCACATCAGCCCAGTTGTAAACCCTGGGGTGATGGCACAGGACTGATTCTCTCCCTGTTTCCTTCTCACAATGGAGCTCATTCTCGCGTCTCCAGAATGATCTCATAGACGCATGCAAAAAGAGCATTATTCATCTTCAAGGGCCCCACAATAACTGAGATTGAGCAAAATACAAGGGAGAGTGAAAAAGAGGTGAAGCTTAACATGAAAGGGCCATTTGTATCCACAGCTTAGAATGAGATGCCTGGACATATTCCGCCATTGTCTTATAGTGTCTACACCATGTGCTATTCTTGAAATTCTGGAGTGGAGGGGTTTGAGTTTAGGTGTGAGAGAGAGAGCACGCTTCATCTGTAAACTAATCAGATGACCCCAGTGGATGTCGGACAGGATTGTCAGCTTTGTTTATGCTGAGGGAGAAGTATAGTTCTCAGGACTGAGAGCAAATGAATTCTTTTGCAGCTGCTGTCTCTTGGGCTTGGACATTTGTCCCTGTGATATTTGTAGACAAACACAAGACGTAGTTAAGAAGGTAGCAAACACATTTCAAGTCTGTCATTGAAGATACTAGCCTGGAAAATTATAGTTACACTCTATGTCCAAAAAACACATTAGGAAGAGTTTTCAATTTGGGGGTAAGTACGGTACTGTAACTGTGATCTGCAAATAAGTATATAAACACTCCTATGTTTCACAAGAAAATTTGACAATAGAATTTACTGTTGAGTGGTAAAATGTCTCTTGTTGTGACCAGTATAGCTATATACCATCTTTTGAATTTTTGACTGTCACTGTTGTCTTCTTTTGACAAGAGGCAATAGAATAGGTGGCAGTGGTCATAAAGTATTGGCTGTTGTATTTATTTGATGTATATAATGCAGAATCAGGTTGTCATGCTCATGACATCTTATACAATTTTCTTGTATCAATATATGTACGTGAAAGCTGTAGTTACAGAAAAAATGAATACATGCAGCTTCCAACATGAATAGCTGACTCACAGTAGTTGATGCTTCTATTTGAATTTGAAGGCTTGAAAAAAAAAAGAGGTATTAAGAGTTGCACAGTAAAATGCTGCAATTAATCATTTGGAGGTGATCATTTTATTTTGTTTAAACAGATCTTAGGATATTCTTCTGTGTGTTTTGTGTGTTAGAAACAGAAGGTGCCTTTCCTTGCTGCATGTTGCTGGTACTGCTATAACCTAGTTAGAGATTATGTAACATTTTTCTTTCCAAAATGTTTGTCCTCCTCCACATGGGATTCCAGCACCCAGAACACAGCTATTTGGGTGCCCGTCGTTCTGCTGCACATCGCAGGGGTTTGCCTTTGCAGCAGTTGCAGGGATTTCTATAAATAGAGCCTGCAGACTGGAGCTGTGCCTCTCTGCTTCGCTCCCTCCCTTTCGCTGCTGACTGCATCAGACCAGCCACCCACCTACTGTACCTAGCAGCAAGTGCACCACCTACCAGCCCCCATGCTCTCCGTGGCTAACGGGTTAATCCAATAACGATCCATTAAGTGTGGGGAGTTTACGGATTCCCTCTTCTAGCTAGAGGAGGCTCGTTCTTTTTGAGTGAGTGAGAGGGAGCCGGTGGAAGTGGTGGTGTGTTGTCACATGATGTGGTGGTGTCTGGTGCTACAGCAGCAGCTGGCCTACCCATCTCTCTCTCTCTCTCTCCCCCGATCTCCTGGTCTCTCTGTCTCACAGCAGTGCCTCTCTCTCTCTCTCTCCTGCTGCCTGGGTCCATGTCTTCATGAGGGATAGGGACGATAGGATCCCAGCGTGGGTGCACACCCTCCTCGTCCTGCCCTCTGTCTTCCACTAACCATGTCCTTCTGTTGTTGTTTCTTTTTCAGAGACTATGGCACCTCGAAACGGAAATCAGGTAAGAAAACTGGATTTCATAACATTTGAGCTTCTGTTTGTTGGCAGCCTTAAAGTCCTGTAACCTGTTGCATGTGGGTGGGTGTTTGTTTGTCTCCCTCTTCCTGCGGATGCACTAGCTTCTTGTTTTATCTACATTTTGGATTTCTTGGCATTACATTATTTCAGAAACTATACCGCCCTAAAAGGAATATTCTTTGGTACTCTGCTTCACCACAAGCTGCTGTACCGTGATGTCCCACATTATTGGCTTTGGAATTCAAATATCAGGGGAGCAATCAGAGTCCTGTTTTATAGTCTCTAGATCAGACATGCAGTCACAGTTCGGAAGGACCGAAAGTGCTCAATTATCTGTCAGCATTAATATATCCTTGACCGAAGTATTGTTCAGTTTCTCCGAATTAGGCAAATAGTGGGAGTGAGTGATTGGAGGCTCATGTGGAATGAGAAACTAAAAGACCTTGTGTCCCCTGAGGGCTGGCATACGACTGGAAATCTTTTCCCCGCCCTCAGGCAGGAGATCCAGGAGTCAGCCCAGGGGTATCTCCCATCTGCAACAGTCCCACCTCTTCCAGTTAGCATGATCACTTTGCCATAGGTGATTGATTACTTAAGGACTGGAGCATTTTGGAAAAGTAGTGCTGGCAAGGCAAATCATTTCTTTGCCTGCTTGAGGAATGTTTTAAAAGGTATGCCAAAGCCATAGAAGCAGCAGTTACAAAGCACTCTGCAATGCTTTGTCATGAACAAAACTTTAAGAGAGGAAGGGGTTAAACAGAAAGGAGGGCGTGAAAGAACTGCACCTGGTTTGCTCAGCTATGCAGTGTTGATCCACTGGGTCAAAACAGGGATGGGTGGAGAAATAACATTGACAACTGCTGTGTGTGTAGGGTTTGGGTGTGTGCTTGTATGCACTGTACAGTATGTGAGTGTGTGTGGGGGGTGTGTCATCTGTTCAGTCTTACCAATCGTTAGGCGCAAGGCAATATTAATAGGTTTTTCCATTGTATGCAGAAGGTTGCATGAAAGGAGTGGAAAGTTCTAGCAATTAGCTAGATGGATTTTGAAAAGGAATTGTCAGAGGAAGTGGACTAATGTCAATTCTGCTTTTAGTCCATTAAACTGCAAGAGTTCAATAATTATAGACTTAAAATACTAGTTCAGTTGTGTTCTGTATTCTTTAGTTGTATATTTACCTTGTCTTTTGTCTGTCTTTAATGTCTATAGGGGTAAATTCTATGTACAGTTTCCTGCTAATACTTTTATTTAGTAGTCTGTTTAAAAGTGACAATAATGTTATACAAAGTATCATCTTATTTTTAGAAATTATATGTATATAAATATGATTTATTGACCATGATAGTGTAATGAAGGCCATTTGTCAAGAACTACTGGGATAAAAAGGCCATTGTCAGTATTCTACAGCCATGTACAGATACCAGCTGCAAACTTCACATTCTGTGATGAATAGAATCTTGAAAGTGATTCAGTCTCATAATTTCTGTTTTTGAAGAAACACATTCTTCCTTCTGTTCACTGCAATAGAACTGTGATATGGTACTTTTGGACCTAAACCAATTTGTAATCATAACGTCTTCCCAGTTGAGCACTGTTCCTTATTGCAAATACATTTTTTCGGTCTGTGTTTTCACAAGTTTATGATGCTGATCTTTATATAGTAAAGATGAAAGTGCAGGAAGGAATAGGCGTCGGCTAACTGATTAATAAATCAGAATCTACCAGGAAATTCGATTTAATAATAGTTATCACAGCTGATATACAATGGGTGAGTATTGCAGTGATAAAATATTTTACCCTTCACTGACTATTAATTAATGTCTATGAGCAGTTGTGATTTTTCAGTCCAGTACTAGGTTATGTTTAATTACCTACAGGTTTAATTTTTCTGAATGATTCAGTTTGCCTCCCAAAGATAAAATGCATTAATCATGGTTGAGTTTGAAAAATTTACGGAAATTAAAACAAAATAAATGAAAAAATGAAATAAAATGTATTTAGTTTTAGCTGCATTTTAAAACAAGGTTTTGAAATTAAACCTAATGTTTGTAGTATCATAAAAATACTCTTTAATTAGATAATAGGGATATTTCTGTCATAAACATGCCTCAAGAATTTGTAATATAAAATGCCTAATGGCTACTGAAATTATTTAGCACTTATTAAGATCAGTCTGTAAGACTACTACTAATTAACATATCAGTCCTTTTTGATGACTATAATGTTTTTTGTATTCTTTGAGTAATTGCAGAGATCAATAACACTGGGAACACATTGTCCTGCCACAATGCAAATGTACTGGTTTTGTCCATATATCATAAATCCTAAAATACTGAAGTTGTAAAAAAAGCAATTAACAAGCACATGATAGGCCTCTGTGTTGCCCTTGAGTATGTCCACATACTGTAGATTAAGAGGAAAACTTGTTGTCTCATAGTGCAGTTGGCTCTCAAACAGGTGGTGGCATTTCATCAAGCTGACATTAATTCTAATTGGAACGAACTTGGCTGGCAAGAAACAGACCAAGTTGATCCTGCAATTTCATTAAGTAACTTAAGTCCATCTGGCACTGCCATGGAGACTGTTGCTGTGACCATCTTCCAGATTATTCTCTGTCCCCAGACTGCCTACTGTTATATACCACTGGAGCACCTCTGTTTTACAGGTCATGTTAATATGTCAGATATATGATCTGAAAGAGGCATATGCAGCTTCATATATATATATACTGTATATGTACAGTTTCAAAACCTATTCATTAATTTACTTCCCACCACCAACTCATTTAATAATTTACAGCACAAAAAGTCCAGTTCCTCTGAAATCACTGCACACTGTATTTAAAACCAATGACAGGGAAACAGGGAAGTGTATATCTGTGGGATATTGTGCTGTAGCTTCAACTTAGGATAACAATAATTATATGTTCAGGTGGCTAGCTGTGTCAGCATGCGTAGGCTGCAAAGGAACAAGTAATAGGTTTATTCCATGCTGAAAAGAGAAGAAAGGAAACACAACGTTTCGGCTGTGTCACAGCCAAAGAAGGCTCCACAGCCAAAACGTTGTGTTTTCTTTCTTTTCTTTTCAGCATGGAATAAACGTATTACTTGTTCCATAATTATATTTTGTTGGTCTTGCCTTAAAAGCTTTAATGGAACTCTGCTTTGACATGAAAATTTTGCCAGAACCACAAAGTGGTTAAAACAGACTTCTGCGCTCTCTACCTGCCATTAAATCCTTCTAAAGTTACAGCTGCATCTGCAATTTATGCCATTTATTTCATACATTAAAACTACATTATGGCTTCACTGGAACTCTAATGAATCCTTACTTGTCGGTGCTTATCTGAAGCTGAAGCAGAACTGACTGGAACAGATCACCACTTTTGTTTCTAGAGTGAGGTGGCTGTTTATTCTCTAAATATTCTTTCTTTTGGATCAAAAAGAAAAGCAAAATGTGACAAGGGAAAACATCTGTTACAGTATGTTGTATTGATAGTCAGAAATACAGTGGTGTTCTAGCTATATTGAGGTAAAACTACAGATTTAAAAGACAAAAGCTTGCAATCCTTACATGAAATATAGCACACCACTGGAATGTTGTACACTTCAATGCACAATGTGCTTATATTCCTATTTTGCACCCTGTAGAGGTTCAGTTTCAGTCTTTTCCGTTTAATCTGGAAAATGAAATATGATCTGAGCGCTGTCACTGCCGGGATTAGGGATAAAGCTGTCCTTGGAGAGCAATTTGAGCATTAAAGTTTAAAATGACATTAAAAGTTAATGATAATCTGTGAGACCAGTGAATGATCCTTCCAAGTCATTTTGTATCGGAACATTTGCCCGTACATCTGGCAGAAGACCCAAGGAATGGAGGCAGAGGTTGTCAGTTTATAAACCTCTGATCAGGCTCTCTCTATCGACTGAAAGCACTGGAAAAATAGCAATCGATTTATAGTGGGACTCGGCAAGTCCTGTCTTTTAGGTTGCATTTCATTACAGTTTTTATAAACTGTAACTTGTCTTTTCAGAGGAGCAGTGCACAGATACTTCTGCGTGCATTGGTCTTTGTGCATGTGAAGGCCAGATGTGAACTGGGTTGGTGGGGGTTGAGAGAGTCAGGCAACTATGTTTACGTGGCAAGTGGAAGTCATTTCAGATTGATACACGACAAGTGTAGATCACAGTGTTAACAAGGTATCAGAGCACTTGTTGGGAAAGCTGACAGGATCTGTGCAACAAGGGGAGGCGAGACTGATTTTTAATAAACAAAGTCCTGGCTGTTGGAGATGTGAGAAATAAAGTTCAGGTGTTTGTTTTGGTGCTAAAACCTGAGCCAGGATTTCAGAGGCAGTTCTGATGGCATCTTTTGAACATAAATGATTATACAGTAATTAATTTAAATAAAGACTTACTGTGAAAATTAACCCCTGCAGTGTATGGAATTGTTCATAAAACTTTTTTATCCCTGCCTTGCTGGGCTTCCAAATTGTGGAGAGATCATAAAGGATCTTACTGGAACACAATGCACTGATTGAGTTGACATTGCCTAGAAATGCTAGTTTTAGCCTAGATCATTAGCTGATAATGCCTAGGATTCCATAAATGGTGTATAGACAGCACAGCACCAGGGGCAGGGTTAGTCAGCCTGTGGGATTCCGTCAGGTGCTGAGGAGTTTGCTGCATTTCAAATAATGAATGGCTATAAATGACAGACAATGTTTGCACAGACAGTGTGGTTCTTAGGAGCAGATGCACTGAAAAAAATGGTCTTAATGCTGTACTCTGGTAGAACTGGATACCATTATTTTTGCATTCCATTGCAGTGTATATCTATTATGGGTGATATCTGGAAGTCCAATACGTTTTTTTCACGGGGTGTCTTTAGCAAACAGCCACTTCACACACCATCCATTTGTATTTAATCAACCAAAATACATTTTAATTTATTTTGAATATCATTTTAAAGAAAGACTTATTT